AAGGTGAGAAGCAGGGAGAAGGGAATAGCAAATTGAATGCTGTCATTTGAGCTGTATCTTGAAAGATGAATAATATTACTTGCATTTTAAATTTTTTATTATTACTATTTCCATAGCATTTCATCTTCAGAGGGCCTTAGTGTCTGACATATAGTAAGTGGTCAGTGATTGTTTAATGACCAAATAAATACATTGTGAATTACATTATTTTTAAAAATCCTCTGGTAATACCCTTCCAACTGAGTTCCACGATGAATGAAGCAACAGGATGGGTGTTTGGAGAGCAAAATGTTTCCCTTTTAGGCTGGCTATTGATCATATTCAACTAAGGAACCAAATAGTAACTATTTTCTGCCACAATTAAGGCCATTCATTATCTTCATTATCTTTTTTAAAAGATATGTATAGCACAATACTGCATTCATTTCCAAAATCTTGAATTTGTATTTATTAATACCTTTCGGTTGGAATTCCTGTGCTTCTTCCCTAAAAAAAATCTTGCTACAAATGTCCATCAGGATATTAGACTGAAAATAGATCTAACTATATCTAATTTTCTCCAACAGGAAATCAGACATGAATGTCATCATCTACCCATGCCTAATCTATTCTACATTCTCCTCAATAAAGTAAAGCCACATACTATAATAAAACATTGAAGTGGTGTAATATAGCTGTATTTTACATGGAAATATGCAATTCCTTAAGCTCTTCTCTAAGATTTTGTGTTATGGGAAAACAAACTATGTGGGAATTATTGCATTATTAATTTTTGATTAGGATTTAACATTATGAAAGTTTCATTGCTTACCATAAAGACATTTCATGGCAAATAGAAGTATGCTGTTGTAAAATAAACTAAGGCAGATTAGTATTTTTCCTGGCAACTGAGCACTTAACGACCATTTTTCTGAGTTATCCACCCCAAAACATAGTAGTTAAAAAAAAAACTTAGTAATTAGAACAAAGTATATCTTGAAAGATTAGGATCTATTTATCTTTCAGTAGCTTAACTGACAGAAACTAAAATAAGACATCTTCGAAATACTGATCACAGTGGCAGTAGATGCCACTCTAGATATCATGTTCGTTGGTCACCTCTCAGTAGATTGGAAGGCACAATACAATTTATTTTGCAGCAGCATTAACAGCACCGAGACTGGCAACAGAATTGCTTTGCCTTTGTCACTTTTCTGAAAGAGTTTTAAAAGTTTGGAGTACCAACTGACATATGATGAAACCTTCTCTTCCCTTCTTGCTGTATCTCTCACACCCAACCAAGCAAAAACTAAACAAGTTTAAAAGCTGCCTGTAATGAAAGGGGATCCAATGTTCAGGAAAGGAATTTTATTTGTAGGAAAGCAGAACAGACCAAGAAACTTGAGTGACCCTAATAATTGTCTTTGGGACAGGATCATTGGAAAGTTACATTACTTTTCCATTTCTCAACTAGTTATTTCACCTTTCATTTTTGTTTTTATCTGGAAGGCTTAACCCTACTTCAAACAACCCAGTAGATTGTAAAGAGAACAACTTATATCAAATGGATTTGGAGGTATCAATTATTTCACATTCCAGAAAGGTTGTATTGGCTGAAAATTAAATGAGTTAGGTTTTATAGCCATATTGTCAGCATTCGCTTGCCTTTTGAACTTGATTATGAATTCCACGAGGGCAGTTACTGTCCTCTCCTGTGTTAAAATGCCAGCAATCTTGTGGGTGCTTAATATATGTTAATTGATGATGACAAAAGATAAGTGACACTCATTCAGTCTTAGAGCTCTTCCTATATGTTATACTTATGGTTACAGATTTGGTAAGGTCACTCTATGGGATCTGCAGAAACCCCAGTAAGGCAGAGTGGAAGAAACAAAGTCTTGAGGAGAAGATGTGAGTGGGTTGGAATTCTGATACTGCCACTTACTAGCTCTTTGATCTTGAGCCTGATTCTTCATCTGTAAAATAGGGATAATAATACCTTCCCACAGAGTCACTTTGAGGATGAAATGAATTAACTATGCATAGTGTCAAACTGCTCACGGTGTTCAGAATATGCCATGCAGTTTACTGCTTTCAAGTCTGTTCCTGGAGCCCTGAGCTTGGAATAGTCATTCCCTTCATAGCCACACTTCGCTTACTTAACCTCTTGTCTGGTTAGTTCCTGGTAAGTGCCTGGTCTTCCATAAAAACCCAACTCAAGTATTAACTTATTTGTGAATCATGCCTTGGCTCAACAAATTGTAGATAGAGATGGTTGCTTAATGCTGAATGAATGGGCATCTGGAACCCAACAAGTGCTAAGTATATGTTGCTTTCTCACCACTATCCCCTTTGCTGCTTAATCCCAACCAATCTCTCTTTAAGTGACCTGTTTAATACTGCCTCTATTGCCATTTTTTCTGAAAACTTTCCAAAGTCAATTGGATAGGGATATCTAACTCTCCTACTGGGAAAGGAGGAGTCGATAATTGCTTACAATATTACAGTCTACAAAAAAAAAAAAAAAAAAAAAAAAAAGCAACAGACAGCTTATTCCAAACTTGAACAAAATTGAGGGAATATGCCACCCATGAGTCATTTGTGAAAAATTACTTGGCAATATACAAAGTCAAATAAAATAAGAAATGAGTCCAAATAAAGAATTAAGAATGGAGATTTTGCAGTACACCAATCTATTTAAGTGGAAGACTAAGCCCAAACAACAGATCGATTATGACTGTGTGACAATGAAACTTATAAACCCCGGCACTGTAAATTCCATTCATTTTTTCAATGCATATTAAACATATATCATTTAGTACTTACTCTGTGCCAGGCAATGTTGCAGGCATTGTGGATATAATTATCATCAAGTTGAAATCTTGGTCTTCACCGGGCGCGGTGGCTCAAACCTGTAATCCCAGCACTTTGGGAGGCCAAGGTGGGTGGATCATGAGGTCAAGAGATCGAGACCATCCTGGTCAACATGGTGAAACCCCGTCTCTACTAAAAATACAAAAAATTAGCTGGGCATGGTGGGGCGTGCCTGTAATCCCATCTACTCGGGAGGCTGAGGCAAGAGAATTGCCTGAACCCAGGAGGCGGAGGTTGCGGTGAGCCGAGATCGCGCCATTGCACTCCAGCCTGGGTAACAAGCGAAACTCCGTCTCAAAAAAAAAAAAAAAAGAAATCTTGGTCTTCATGGAAGTTACATTATAACAGAAGAGATATACAATCAACATTTGCATATATATAATCTAAATATATAACACAAGATCAGAAAGTAGTAAGTGCTATAAAGAAAAATAGAGGGAGGGGAGCATCACACACTCGGGTCTGTAGAGGGGAAATAGGGGAGGGACAGCGGGGGGTGGGGAGTTGGGGAGAGATAGCATAGGGAGGAACGCCAGATATAGGTGATGGGAAGGAAAGCAGCACATCACACTGCCATGTGTGTACCTATGCAACAATCTTCCATGTTCTTCACATGTACCCGTAAACCTAAAATGCAATTTTAAAAAAAGGAAAATAGAGCAAAGGGATATAGAATGATGAGGGTGTTATTGTAAATTGCATGGTCTGGAATGGCCTCTCTGAAAAGACAATGTAGGATCAAAGAATGGAATGAACTAAGGGAAAGGACCATATAAATATCAGGGGAATAATATTTTAGGCAGTGGAACATGTCAATAGCCTTCAACCAAAGACTACCAGAAACATAGCCATAGCTGACAAATTAGGTTTATTACTCTTACTCAAAGGAAGGAGAACACACACTATAGGTAACTATGATGTGTTTCAGTAAGAGGTTGTTAGAATGAACCTAGTATAGGATTTGGGCAATATGGGGGAAGGTCTAGGAAGCAGGGGTTCCATCTTAGACACATCAGAAAGCAGGGGCTATATGATTGCACATTTCAATAATCTTATTGAAATGGGAAATCTTACAGGGAGAGCAAACTAGAAGGAGGATAAAGATGTACATTAACTGGCAAAGTGGCAGTGACCTATGTTGGCCAAGACGGAGTGTTTGGTGTTTTCTGGGTGTCACAATGAACTTGTTTTTGTCTGTACTTAGACAAGCTTATGAAGTGGTGTTGTTTTGTCTCACTTGATCAGTCTCCCAGTGATCTTGTCTTGTGTTGGTGTTCTGTGATTTTATGTTCAACAAGAGAAGAACATGCCTAACTGTGAGTGCGAGGCCAGCTTGTAGATTTCAGGGGGCTGCCCCCACTTCCTTTCTCAAACAGCAAGTGAAAAGGCTTATAATATAAGGAACAAGGCTGGGTGCTGTGGCTCACCCCTGTAATGCCAGCACTTTGGGAGGCTGAGGTGGGCGGATCACCTGAGGTCAGGAGTTCGAGACCAGCATGGCCAACATGGCAAAACCCCATCTCTCCTAAAAATACAAAAATTAATCCCAGGTACTTGGGAGACTGAGGCAGGAAAGTCGCTTGAATCCAGGAGGTGGAGGTTGCAATGAGCTAAGGTCATGCCATTGCACTCCAGTCTGGGCAACAGAGTGAGACTCCCTCTCAAAAAAAAAAAAAAAGAAAAAAACAACAACAAAAAACCAATTTTAGAAGTAGTGGGAGAGGAAGGAGGAAGCACAACAGTGGCTATCACCTCATCTTTAATAGAAAGTAGTCACTTTCTACTGTATTATTTTATGTAACATACTTATACTAAAACATTGTTCTTCATTTGAAATTCAAAGGTAAGTGGGCCTACTGTATATTTCTTTTTGCTATTAACAAATCTGACAACACTGAAATAAACACTTTCAGTTGTCTACGAAATACTTTGGATACTTTGTCCCTTTTCTTACCATCTCAGATTTTTCTTTTAATTCAAATAGACTCCAAAAAAATATGTGAATCTATTTGAGCCAGTCCTATTTGTTATATATGTACATATATACGCACATAACCAAATGTACATATTTTATACACACACAAAGGACACAGAGTGCACCCAATATTATAGAACATGTAATACACACTCACGGAAATCACCCGAACATGAGCAGAATTGACTATGTTGTTGATATGGTCATTCTGTGAAATGTCTCCAGTGGTTTATCGTCCTGCCATTCAGTAGTTATTTCAAGTACGAGCCTAAGAAAGACGTGGTCTTCGTGGGGATTTAGATCTGGTGCGCTCAATGCGGAACCAAAGGATGAGCGAAATCGGTTGCAGTGGCGGTTTATTAACACCAAGACACACATCTCTTCACCTTGGCCAGAGGCCACGCAGACATGGGGAAAGATTTTGCCAACGTACTCGCAAGGATTCCCGTGGTTTCCTTTGCTCCCAGCTGTTGGGCGGGCTGGGTTTTTGGAGCAAAGGCACCGGATACTGCTGAGTCTCCTGAGAGTGTCTCCTTTCCGAGGCTGCAGTAGCTCGTATCCGGTTCTGCGGTACCGAGAAGGAGGGCTCAGGCTCCGGGGGCAAGTGTTGCAGTTGGTCCTGGAGCCCCAAGCCCAGCAAAGCCTACGGCTCCCTGCTGGTGCGCAGCTCTCGCTGAAACTCTTGCTCTCTGTCTGGGGAATGGAATGGCCTCAACCAAGGCTCCCGAAACCAGCCCTGCCGCTCCCTCTTGTGGTCCCATTCTCAAGAGCGGCTCTTTGCGCCGCGGGGCATCTCCTTCGCTTCTGCGCCCTTGTGCAACTATTTCGGCAACTAAACTACTTACGCTCCTACGGGACAAGGAGAGGGAGGGGAGCCCGTGGCAGAGGTGAGTGAGATCACGATCGCGCCTTCGTTCTAAGGAGCCCGCTTGCCTTCAACGAGTCTGCTTCATCTTTTAGCCCGCTTCTATTTGCATTTCGCTCCTTCTATCTTCACTGCTCCCATTTTCAGCCTTTTCTGCAATCTGTCCATGGCAGCTCCTTGTTCGCCCTTCTCTCTTACATTCTCACTCATCCTTGGGCCCCTTTGTAGGGTGCCCTGTTCTCCCTCCACCCTCTTTTGCCTCTGATCTCGGGGTGGACACGGCTAAGGCTCACAGACCTATGTATAGCATTTCTTTCTTTTGTGTTATCATTTGTGAACATGTTTTTATTCTCCACTAGACTGAGTTTGTGGAAGGGAGGACCCCTGTTTTATTCATTACAGAATTTGCAGTACCTAGCACTTAGTAGGGACTCAACCTACTGAATGTTGTGTGTTGTAGGTTGAGTGAATGAACAGATGGGTTTGAGATACTAACAGGCTAAGTAAGGGGAAATTCCTTGTGGGGAGTTGGAAAGGGTTGAGATTAAGGGTTTAAATTGGAAAGCAGAAATACCTTCCTCTGAGACAAGATAATTGGATGAACGTAGGCAAAGTGATGTGCTAAACTGCAGATGTGGCTACCTTGAGGAAGGTCTTAAGTGGTCTCAATCTTGACCTCGAAGAATGAGAGGAGAGTAAGATGAGTTTTCCTCTAATGAGAGTGAATATTGGTGTGGGAAGTAGATTGTTTGAGAAAGAAAATAGTTATAATTATTGCTGTGTACGTACTCATATCAAATGTTTATTGAGTGTGTCAGGTGCTATACTGAGCGCCTTACATGCACTACGGTTAAAAAATGAGAAATTTTAAAACATTACAGGTATTGAGGAGTAGGCTGAAATTCCAGCAGTTGGGAGATGTCTTGATGAGTCTTCTTCTGCCACTAGTGGGATATAATAAAGCATAGTGATGAGAAGGACAGCTACTGGATTCAGACTTTCCGAGTTTGAAGCCTTGCTTTGACACTTAATACCTGTGCGAACTTGGTAACCTCTCCAAACTTCGTTTATTTTTCCACCTGTAAAAGGGGGATACAAAAGTACTGACATTTTTTGGGTTATTGTAATGATTTAGTGCCTTGCACATAATATACATTTCACAGGTGTTGGCTATTACGGTTTCATGCCTGGGAGCAGAAGCAGTAAAAACAGTCCTGAGTCACGTTAGAGATACATCTCTTTTGCCCATGTGGGAGAACTGAGTGAAACTACTGTGCCTTTCCTCTGAGGAGCCCTCCTGCCTTTGGAATAGAAAGGTCCTCCCAGTTTGTGTCAATCAATAAACATTATTTTAGAATCCTAAACAAAAGATATAAGAACAACTTGCGTAAAATTTGCATTTGTGCACATAGAAGATAAATAATTTATCTTAAGGTACAGATAAAACCAGGTAGCAGCAGGTACTGTTATAATCGTTTGCTGTTCATCATGTTGATGGAGGAAGGATTCTCACCCTTTGTGTTATGGAGTAGCTAAACACAGGACAGATGAGACCAACAGCAGTTTATTAATCACATATACTCACAGCTGGAATGGGAGAGAACACAGCATGCTGCGAAGGGCCACAGAGAGGTTGCTGTTGGTAAGACAGTGAGAGGTTGCTGTTGGTAAGACAATGAATAATCAGGAGCTGTGGGAGTTAGTTAGACTTTGTGGTATCAAGAAATTAGGCACGTGCGGTGCCTTACACCTGTAATCCCAGCACTTTGGGAGGCTGAAGTGGGTGGATCATGAGGTCACGAGTTCGAGACCAGCCTGACCAACATGTTGAAACCCCCCATCTCTACTAAAAGTACAAAAATTAGCCAGACATGGTGGTACATGCCTGTAATCCCAGATACTTGGGAGGCTGAGGCAAGAGACTTGCTTGAACCCCAGAGGCAGAGGTTGCAGTGAGCCAAGATCACAGCCACTGCACTCCAGCCTGGCAAGAGAGTGAGACGACGTCTCCAAAAAAAAAAAAAAAAAAAAAGAAGAGAAAAAAAGGAAAGAAATTGAGGTAATACCTGTTTTCCCTTAGAAGGATATGATTGGCTTGTTTGAATAATTCCACAGGCTGACAGTGTACTAAAATCTGCTACCCTGAGATAAGCTCGAACTGCATCTGGTCCCTTTGAGAAGGAAGGTCATTTGGCTAGGGGACCTTATTTGCAGGAGCAGAATAGGGAGGAGAATTCACAATTAGGCCATTGGGACCCCTCCTGGTTTCCCCAATTGTCAAGGTAGTACACAATATTGGGCCTTAATTTTGTGCCTCACACCGCAAAGACTGTCTTTATAGTCTGGCAGGCATCCTTGGTCCCCATACTCATATTCCAAGAATTATTAGACGTATGTTTACTTTTAGATTGCCTGCTGTTGAAATGAGAAACCTCTGAGTCTGACTCTGTATACTTATAATACCTTTTCCCCGAATTAAGAAGTAAAAAATAATTTATTCAAACAATGAAATCAAATATATTTATTTTATAAGGATTTTAAAAAAACAAATGAAAACATAAACATCTAAACTTTGGGGAATTGAACCCCTCTTAGTTTATTTTTTTTTCAGTTTATGAGTAACAGCAAAAATTAAAACAATAAATGACAAACATTATAATACAAAAAAAAATTAGTGTCCTCCAGTGTAGGGTCCAGCCCTGCAGGGTTCAGTGAGCCCCTCTCTGCTAGTGTGGAGATGAGAAATTGTAGAAATAAAAGACACAAGACACAGAGATAGAGAAAAGAGAGTTTGGGCCCCAGGGGTCCACTGCCAACCAAAGTGTGGAGTATAACAGTGGCCCTGAGTGCCTGGACGCTCTGACTTTTATTGAGCACAAAGCTGGGGGCAGGGTAGGTAGGGCATGGCATTGGTGGTCGGTGGCTGGGGGCAGAGTAGATAAGGCATGGCAGTGATAGGGTCAAGCACATCACTTGTTATACAGGTAGGGGCTCAGGAATTTCTAGTAGCCAAGATGAGGTAAGGAGCATAATGCATCAGCACTTTTCCGTGCTTGTTACGAAAAAATAAAGACATTAAGATGTATATTACTTTTACTGATTATCACTTCTAAGTAAAAAGGAACCAGGCGCAGAAGCGGAACATGAGAGTGGACATGGTACGTGATCTGAAGCACAGCATCACATAGAGACAATTAAGCCCCTGGATGTCTTTGGGTCTACCTGACAGCCATCAGGCCTTACCATAAGAGCTTGGAGAACTGGAGTTTTCTCCTAACTCCTCTAGGGAAGGAGAAGTCTCAGCCATCTTGGGTGTCTCCTTCCCTAGCTGGCTAAACAGTGGGCACTTTTTCAGCGCTGGTGCTGCCACACAGTCAAGGCGCCCTCCAGCAGCACTTACACAGGCATGACAGAGGGCCCAAAGCGTCTTGCCTTAGGGTCATTTCTTTCACAATGTCACCCCAGGTTCACACTTCCAACCTGAGAGGCATTAGTAAAAGAATTAGGATCACCTATGAATAACTAAGATTACCAATGAATAACTAATAACTACTAAGGTTATATTTCTAGTTACTTTCTTCTTCATTATTTATATGGAAATAGGCTGAGGCTTCTGGCTCCTGCCTCAGCACTTATGGGATATACCCGCTACACTCCAAAGAGCAGATGTACTCCTTTCTTAAAAGGAACTAAAGGGAGTGTAACATACCGAAGAGTTAAAACATGTTGCTAGTAGATTGTAGGATGCTAATTGTTTTCTTTAAATTTTATTCATGGGGTGCTAATTTCCTATTATTAGAAGAGTTCAGTGTTAAAACAGATAATACATTTATATTTTGAATTTTTTTCCTCAACCCAGGAGCAGGTTGCATTCCAGATAACAGTATTACACAGCGATTTTTTAAAAAATGAGTGAAGGATATGAACAGACACTTTTCAAAAGAAGACATTTATGAGGCCAACGAACATATGAAAAAATGCTCATCATCACTGGTCATTAGAGAAATGCAAATCAAAACCACATTGAAATACCATCTGATACCAGTTAGAATGGCGATCATTAAAAAATCTGGAGACAACAGATGCTGGAGAGGATGTGGAGAAATAGGAACACTTTTTTTTTTTTTTTTGAGACGGAGTTTCGCTCTTGTTACCTAGGCTGGAGTGCAATGGCGTGATCTCGGCTCACCGCAACCTCCACCTCCTGGGTTCAGGCAATTCTCCTGCCTCAGCCTCCTGAGTAGCTGGGATTACAGGCACGCGCCACCATGCCCAGCTAATTTTTTGTATTTTTAGTAGAGACGGGGTTTCAGCATGTTGACCAGGATGGTCTCGATCTCTCGACCTCGTGATCCACCCACCTCGGCCTCCCAAAGTGCTGGGATTACAGGTTTGAGCCACCGCACCCGGCCAGGAACACTTTTACACTGTTGGTGGGAGTGTAAATTAGTTCAATCATTGTAAAGGAGTTTGGTCATTCCTCAAGGATCTAGAAATAGAAATTCTATTTGACCCAGCAATCCCATTACTGAGTATATACCCAAAGGATTATAAGTCATTCTATTATAAAGACACATGCACACGTATGTTCATTGTGGCACTGTTCACAATAGCAAAGACATGGAACCAACCCAAATGCTCATCAATGATAGACTGAACAAAGAAAATGTGGCACATATACACACCATGGATTACTATGCAGCCATAAAAAACGATGAGTTTGTAGGGACATGGATGAATCTGGAAACCATCATTCTCAGCAAACTGACACAGGAACAGAAAACCAAGCACCACATGTCCTCACTCATAGGCAGGTGTTGAACAATGAGAACACGTGGGCACAGGGAGGGGAACATCACACACTGGGGTCTATTGGGGGGTGGGGAGCTAGTGGAGAGACAGCAGGGGGCAAGGAGGTTGGGGAGGGATAACACTGGGAGAAAAGCCTGATGTAGGTGACGGGGGGGATGGAGACAGCAACCCACCATGGCATGTGTGTACCTATGCAACAATCCTGCAAGATTGCACATGTACCCCAGGACTTAAGGTACAGTTAAAAAAAAAAAAAAGTGAAGATACTAGTGTAGTTTGGTACTTAATTTTTCTGTATCCAATACTATGTGAAATCTTAATGCTTTTTTTTTTCTTATTTCTTTTCTCTTTGGTGTTACTCCGAAGTTTCTTCTTCCCTCTCCTCTATTTCTGTGTTTAGATTGAGTTGAGACAATGTGCTTCACAGGCAAACCTATAATTTGTGACAAGGAGATAAAGCATTATTATCTGAAGTATATTTTAATAGATACCCTTGGGAAATGCTTAAAGAACCTGGACTCATAGAATCAGAGTCAGAAGGAACCCTAAAAATAATTTTATAGGCAATACCTAAATTATTCCAGATGTGATCTTCAAAGGGAAAGGTTATATAATATAGAAACTCCCTTTCTAAAGTATTGTAGAACTTTACTTATTGATTTATTTGCTTTCTCTTTCTTTCTTTCTTTCTTTCTTTCTTTCTTTCTTTCTTTCTTTCCTTCTTTCTTTCTTTTCTTTCTTTCTTTCTTTCTTTCTTTCTGATGCAGGGTCTCACTCTGTTACCCAGGCTAGAGTACAGGTAGCATGATCATGGCTCACTGCAGCCTTGACCTTCCCACCTCAAGTTAGCCTCTTGCACCAGCCTCCTGAGTAGCTGGGACTACAGGTGTATACCCAGCTAATTTTCTTTTTTTTTTTTTTTTGAGACGGAGTTTCACTCTTGTTACCCAGGCTGGAGTGCAATGGCGCGATCTCGGCTCACCGCAACATCCGCCTCCTGGGTTCAGGCAATTCTCCTGCCTCAGCCTCCTGAGTAGCTGGGATTACAGGCACGCACCACCATGCCCAGCTAAATTTTTGTATTTTTTAGTAGAGACGGGGTTTCACCATGTTGACCAGGATGGTCTCAATCTCTTGACCTCATGATCCACCCACCTCGGCCTCCCAAAGTGCTGGGATTACAGGCTTGAGCCACCGCGCCCGGCCTATTTTCTAATTTTTTATACAGAAGGGTCTCACTATGTTGCCCAGACTGGTCTCACATTCCTGGGCTCAAGCTGTTCTTATACTTTGGCCTCCCAAACTGCTGAGATTATAGGTATGAGCCACCATGCCAAGCCTACTGTAAAACATTAATAATATTCATTTTCAGAATTCTCTGCAACAAAACAAATACACACACACACACACACACACACACACACTCACACACACACGTAATTTTTTTACCATGGTATAGCCTCAGGTCCTGAGAACATGTGTCCCCAAAATCTCTTTAGACTGTAGCTTCTTACGGTCTTCTTGCTCTGAGGAGACAGAACAGTTGCTGCTCTACCATTTGTTTTTTACATGCTTAGAATACAATTATATCTTCCTCAGACTTCTTATATCCAGTTTCTTTCATCTTACCTTATGGTTCATGTTTCTCTATTTTCACCCCATGGTTTCTTCTGAAAATATAAATCCTCTATGCTGCTTTCAGTTTGAATAGTACTTTGTAATCTGTAAAGCATTATGCAAATATAAGAATGTAACTTATGTTATTATTAAGAAAGTGTGGTTGGCCGGGCACGGTGGCTCAAGCCTGTAATCCCAGCACTTTGGGAGGCCGAGGCGGGTGGATCACAAGGTCAAGAGATCGAGACCATCCTGGTCAACATGGTGAAACCCCATCTCTACTAAAAATACAAAAAAAAAATTAGCTGGGCATGGTGGCGCGTGCCTGTAATCCCAGCTACTCAGGAGGCTGAGGCAGGAGAATTGCCTGAACCCAGGAGGCGGAGGTTGCGGTGAGCCGAGATCGCGTCATTGCACTCCAGCCTGGGTAACAAGAGCGAAACTCCGTCTCAAAAAAAAAAAAAAAAGAACAAAGAAAGTGTGAAAGTGGCAGACCCTTAACTGTATTCTTTTTTTTTTTTTTTTTTTTTTTTTGAGACAATCTTGCTGTCACCCAGGCTGCAGTGCAATGGCATGATCATGGCTCACTGCAGCTTTGTCATCCCAGGCTCAAGTGATCCTCCCACCTCAGCCTCCTGAGTAGCTGGGACTACAGGCAAGCACCACCATACCTGACTAATGTTTTAAATTTTTTGTATAGATGGGGTCTTGTTATTTTACCTAGGATGGTCTTGAACTCTGGGACTCCTCCCACCTTTGCCTCCCAAAGTGCCGGGATTCAGACATCAACCATATTCTTACGAAAGCCGTCCAATGCTTGTTTTTAATGGTTCTTGGACAATTTTCGTTGCTGAAAAGCTTTAAGTTTATGTTTTTATACTCTATGGTCCATATTTCATCACTTTTCTAATTCTTATAACCATTTTCTTTCAATTCAGCTCTGATGAACATATACAAGTAGAGAATGAAGAGCCAAAGAAATGCAGTACTTCATTTTCGATATCAGAAGGTATTTTTAAGGTACAGACCTTTTTTGAAAAGTTTAAAAAAGTTTACAAATAGTTGCATATTAGACTTTACTTTTACTCAAATTGCCTATCATCTATTCCTTTTCATTATTTCAAATGCAATAAAATTGATAATCAGAAATACTTTTTTAGAAGTTATTTTTTATTTGTATTTTTTATGGAAAAAAAGTAGTCTAGTCATTCAAGTGAAAGGTCCAAGAAAGGAAGAAAGAAAAATTCATTGAAAAGAAAACACAAGAAGTATTCTGAAGATAATTACAGTGACTCTGATTCTAAAACAGACTCCAGTGGTAAGAAAGCCAACAGCGTTCTGCAAGCCTTGCTTTAAAACTAGTTTTACTTCTTAAAACTTATTTTAGAAGAAGTTTCCTGAAAACAATAGTAGCACTGAAGAGTTTTTGAACACTTGCTAACCTTGTGCCAGGCATCCCATTAAATGCTTATATTCATTATTGCCATTTAATCCATACAATAACTGTAGGGTACATCTTATAGATGAGGAAATGGAGACAGAGCAAGTTATAAATACTATTCCCAAGGTCACACAGTTGGGATTCAAACCTAAATAATCTGACTCCAGATTGGTTGTGCATAGTTGTACAAAGCATGTGGCAGCAGACCAAGTCAGGGGGTTGGGCTGTACCAAAGTAAGCCTTACAGGGCTGCATTAGCCCAGTGGAAAGGCTCTTTTGTGTAATTCTCATGCCCAGTGGGCACTGCTGTACAGTTTTCAAAAAGGCACGCCCTTTAGACTGGCTGCCACTTTATGGATGGCGCCCCATCTGGGGTAGTGCATCACAAAAAAGCCACCTTGTTTGTGCCCTCTCCTGGCTAACGATTGACTAGAGGGTGCTTCCTCTGGATTGTCATATTACACAAAGGCTCTGCCTCCTCTGATATTGCCCCAGTTTCCTGGATCCCCAATGTCACTTTACTTCCTTGCTGCTGGAAAACCAAACTTTCTTAAAGCACACATCTAAGCATGTCAGTCCCATACTCAAAATCCTTCCATAGTTCTCCATAGCCCTCAGGGTAAAGTTCAAACCCTGACTGATCTTTCTCTAATCACATATACTCTGTCACTCTTTCTTGCACCATACTGTGTAGCCTGAAACCTACTTTCTTTGTTGTTGTTGTTGTTGTTGTTGTTGTTGTTTTGTTTTTTTGTTTTTTTGACAGGGCCTCCCTGTGTCACTGAAGTGTAGTCAGGCTGAAGTGTAGTCTGGCTCAATCTCTGCTCACTGCACCCTCTACCTCCAGGGTTCAAGTGATTCTCCTGCCTCAGCCTTCTGAGTAGCTGTGACCACAGAAGACATGCACCACCACACCCAGCTATTTTTTAAAAAACTTTTGTAGAGATGAGGTTGTGCCGTGTTGCCCAGGCTAGAACTGCTTTCTGTCTCTTCAGTATTCCATGTTCTTTCTGTTGACTCTATTACTTGGTAAAGAGGCACACTGTCTGTAATACCAGTCTCTCCTTTCAACAAGCTTGGCTTACTTATTGCAACGATGGGCATGCAGTACTTTTGTAATCAAAGAACTACTTTAAGAGTCACCTTTCCTGGTCAACCATTCCTCAACCTCCCTCCCCAAATCAGTCTGATTGTGAGACTCCTCTGTGTGTCCAGAGCACCCTACGCTTCCTTCTGCCACTCATCACCCAGGAGCGCCTTTCAGCTGGGAGGAGCAAAATGCCCTTTCATTTCAGAACTGAGGAAACTCAGTGTCTCATTTATCTGTGAAAACAACAGTTCAGTTCCTCATGCAAATATTCAGACAAGCCAATTGAGATTAATTTCAGGAGGAAAGGCAATGAAGAAGCCCCTTTAGAATGAACCTCTGAACTAGAATTATGATCCTAAACAACTTCCTAGGAGGAAAAAAACTCAGCTGAGACCGCTTCCTGTAAACTGTCCTCAGCCACTCCTAACTTTGTAGCTCTCGTTTGCCATTACACATGCTAAGGTCGAATCCTCTTACACTACAATGTAATCTCTGGTACCACCAAAAGCCAAAGAGGTCAGGTAATGCAATATAGGAGAGCAGAGCTCTAGACCTACAAAGAATCTGCCCATGACTCTTGAAACGCCACAAAGAAAACAGAGCACTCTAAAGAGGAATGAATAGTGCCTTCGTTTTGAGTTCTTTGAGGGGTTTGAGTCATTAGAAGCCTTCTCTAGATGTTTTTCTTGGTTGAAGATGGCTAAGGGGAAGGAGAAATAGAGTGAAAGAAAAGTAAGACAGAAAGCAGACATAGAAACTAAGCAGGTTTTCTTTTTCGTCTTTTTGCAGCTGCAAGGAATTTTAGCCAATTCAGAGGCCTCGTTCTGCATAATTTGGAATTCTCATTCAGATTTGACCAAATTGGGTAGAATTGGTCAAATCTGATGAGAGAAAGACTGAAACAATAAAAAAAGAATCCCAACAATATGATCACTGAGCGTTCTAATGGTAAGGAGAAATTAAGACCAGCTGGTTGTCAGTTTTAACCTTTAGTTATTGAGGAGAATTTCCAAGACAAAAAAAAAAAATCAGTTATTTACCTAGAAATAGGTCTCAGGCTGAAGACTGCTCTCTACCATCCTAGAAGCAGGAAGAAACTCAAACTTGTCTTCTTTGTTGGAAGCAAACTCAAACTCCAGAAAGAAGTTACCTGCCTTCCATTGTCATGGAAGCAGGAAAACTTGCCTGCCTTGTGGGAAGCAAGTAAAACTCCAGAAAGGGAGTGTACAGCAAAATTTATTTTAGATCTTAACCAAATTTTGGGATATTAGCGATCTCTGGAGGAAGGGGAGCTCTCAGGCCTCAGGAAATTGTCGTATTGGTTTGAACTGTAAAGATAGCTCAAGCTGGTACCAGGCACCAATAGGAGATTTGTCAAAGGTCAGGACCACCTCTACTGAGTCCCTTTGTGGTTACCAATTTGTAAACCAAAAAGCATCTGAGACAAGTCTCAATCAATTTCTAAAATTTGTTTTGCCAAGTGTCAGGTCTAGGGTCATATTCCAGCCCATGCTGAGGTTGGAAGGGAGTGGGTGGATGAGTGGCAGATATCTGAAAGAACACTCGGGTGGCGAGGGTGTAGGCAGATGAAAGGCGATTTTATTCAGCAGCTCTCTTACACTGTCTGTCTCTGTCTCAGCTACCTGCTCCAGCTGCTCCCACGCACAGCTGCACGACCAGCTCTCCCATCAGGGTCAGCAGCTTAACTCTTTCCCTCTGGGTGCAAGCAAGCCAAACTGTGTCCCGGCTTCCTGCTGCCTGTCTGCAAGACAGACAGCTCTGCCTCTCTCTCTCTTTCTGTGGGTGCACCTGTACAGCATCAGCAGGGTAGTTGTACCTTTTACAGACGATAGTGGCTCTGAGCTGAGTGATGAGCCTTCCCATGTTATGGCTAGATGGCTGTGATTATATACCAAGTGTCATTATGCACCTGTTATATATATGAGTCATGCAGTATGTTTACCTCAGCCTATGCCTGCTTGGCTTCATTGTAGCCATGTTTCTTACACCAAGGTCAAGGATGCACCTGTGACACAGCCTCAGTATGTCCTGACAACATGTGCTCCAAGTGGTTGGATACAGTTTGGTTTTATACATTTTAGGGAGACATGAGACATCAATTAATATATGTAAGATGTACATTGGTTTGGTCCAGAAAGGTGGGACAACTCAAAGTGGGGAGGGGGCATCCAGGTCATAGGTAAGAAACAAATGGTTGCATTCTTTTGAGTTTCTGATTAGTCTTTCGCTGAATACACAATTTACAGGAATAGTCACTTATGCCTTAGTCTGGCTTAGTGAAATAATAGGAAAGCAATCAGATATACATTGTTCTAATATGAGCAGAAGGATGATTTTGAGTTCGTCTATCCTTTGTCCACAAGGAATTTCCTTATGGGCAAATTGTGGGAGAGGTATATAGCTTTTAAACAAATCTTTGTAACTATCTTATTTAGGAACAGAATGAGAAGCAGGTTTGTCCGACACAGTTCCCAGCTTGACTTTTCCCTTTGGCTTAGCGACTTGGGAGTTCTGAGATTTATTTTCCTTTCAAAGTTTCTACCCACTTTTAATACTCTTTCATTTTTTTCCAAGTCTTGGATGCGCACCTAGCTAATGAATTGCACTGTGTCCTTTCTGTTAATGCTATGCTTGGTAACAGAATAAAGAAATGCCAGTGTCCTGAAAACTATCAGCTGTCCCGCTGTTCTGCCCTTTCTTACTACAAATAGGGTCACCCTGGTCATGGGGGAAGCTAAGCATCATAAAAACTGAACCTTTTTAAAGTCATACTGAGGGAAATAGTCCTATGATATTATAAGAAATATATCAGGTCTTTGCCCCTGGTTCCCGTCACAGAGCTCCTAAAACCCTTGAAATTTCCTGACAAATAGGATTATCTTTTCTTATTTGTAATGTGTCCCTTTGGATTACATCTGCACGTATGCTAATAACATGACTCAGGGCGTGACTTTTAGGTAGCCCAGGATAGGGCCAGTCAACTAAAAACCAGGTAATAGAAGATAAGAGGATTGGTGGCTGGGTGCTGTGGTTCACACCTGTAATCTCAGCATTTTGTGAGGCCTAGGCAGGCGGATCACAAGGCCAGGAGTTCGAGACCATCCTGGCCAATACAGTGAAACCCCGTCTCTACTAAAAATACAAAAATTAGCAAGGCATGGTGGCACATGCCTGTAATCCCAGCTACTCAGGAGGCTGGGGCAGGAGAATTGCTCGAACCCAGGAGGCGGAGGTTGCGATGAGCCGAGATCACGCCATTGCACTCCAGCCTGGGTAACGAGAGTGAAACTCCGTCTCAAAAAAAAAAAAAAAAAAAAAAAAAAAAAAAAAAAAAAAAAAAAAAAAAAATTGGGCAAGTTGGAACTTTCAGCCTCACCTACCAACATCCAGGAAAGGTGGGGAAGCAGGGCTAAAGGATGAGTTCTATAAAAACTCTTTTT